CCCAGCCTAGAGAGGGACAGACTGCAGGTCCCATCGTCCCCAGCCCCTTGGGGGAAAGGACAGGGGGCTTCCCATCATCCCCCAACCTAGAGAGGGACAGACTGCAGTTCCCATCGTCCCCAGCCCCAAAGGGAAAGGGACCACACAGCTCCCGCCATTCCCCAGCCTAGAGAGAAAAGACTGCAGTTCCCATCATCCCCATCCCTTTGGGGGGAATGGACAGTGGGCTAGAGAGGGACAGACTGCAGTTCCGGTCACTCCCAGAGCCTTTGGGGGGTGGGGGATAGTGGGACTTCCACCATTCCCTGACCTAGAAGGGGGCCCAGATTGCACCTTCCATCATCCCCAGCCATTGAGGAGAAATGGGGATTGCAGCTGCCATCGGCCACCTTCCCATAAAACTCTGAAATCCCTGCCGGTTTCAATTTCATTTTCTCAATTAATGGCCTCGTCTTTAACCAGGACTTTCTGGAGACCGAGACCCAAGACGCCCCGAGAAAGCCGGAAAGGGAAGAGAAGAAGACGGAGCCCCAGCCCCGAGCTGCAGAAGGGGCCCCACCAGAAGTAGGTGGTCTTTCTGCGGGTGGGGGGGGGGGGTTCGGATGGATGATCTTGAAGAACCCACCACCTAACATTTTCCCTGTTGGGACAGGTTGAAGTACCTCTTTCCGGATACTGGTTCAAAAAAGGAAGCAGCCAATTTCTCTCCCATCGGTTGCCTCCCCCTCCTTTTAAATGGGGGAGGGGGTGTCTTTCAATGTCCCCCTAATCTTTATGGTGGGGGCAGCCCAGCCCTTTCCACGTTGGTGGGTGGTCCAGATTGTGCCAGGCTTCTTTGGAAGGGCAGCTCTTCGGCACCAGTAAGTGGGACGCATCTCTTCTTATCCCTTTCTCTGCAACCCCAGAATTAAACACCCAGTGCGGTCCAAAAGAGATGACCTTAGGTCACATCTGAAGGGGATTGCTGGACTATTTGAAGGGTACGATCCGAACGGTGTTCCTTTCGGAGCGTACCTGACTGCAGGTAAGGTCCTGCCAGGTGCCCTTTTGAACCATTCCTGCAGGATCCCACCTTCATCCGGAGCAGACTGCAGCTCTACGAAGAGCTGAAGAAACAGAGCGATGCGCTTCTCTGCGCCAGAGCGTCCATCCACGGTCAGAGGATCCAAATCACGCTTTCCGATGGGAAGGTGACAGGCGGACAGGCCTGGAAGACAACGCCATACCAGGTGGCTGTCGACCTCAGGTAAACTTTGACAGTGTTCATGGACCTTTCTGAGAAGGCAATCCAGGTTCCATTTGTGTAGCTACAACCCGGATGGCTGTAATTGTAAATCTCTCTGGTTGGTTTGAAATAAATGTGACTTTGGTCTGTGATCTACAGCTGGCTTGAAATTTTATAGAGTAGAGTAGAGTAGAGTAGAGTAGAGTAGAGTAGAGTAGAGTAGATGGAATAGAATTTAGAATACAGCAGAGTAGAAATGAATAGAATAGAATAGAATAGAATAGAATAGAATAGAATAGAATAGAATAGAATAGAATAAATATTGGAAGGAATAGAATAAATATTGGAAGGAAAGGAATAGAGTAGAGTAGAGTTGAGTAGAGTAGAATAGAATAGAATAAGTAGAATAGAATAGAATAGAATTATGAATATAATAGAGTAGAAATGAATAGAATAGAATAAATATTGGAAGGAAAGGAATAGAATAGAGTAGAGTAAAGTACAATACAATACAATACAATACAATCAATACAATACAATACAATACAATACAATACAATACAATACAATTCTTTATTGGCCAACTGTGGTTGGACACACAAGGATTTTGTCTTGGTGCAAGTGCTCTCAATGTGTATAAAATAAAATATACATTTGTCAAGAGTCAAGAATCATCATTTTAGGAAGATGGTGAGCATAGGTAGACCCCCCAGGTAAAAAATGACCACAAATGAATCTTGAACACCTTAATCATAAACATCACAAATGCATAACCTCAAAGGTAACCTGGAATAAGTGTGTCTCAATCTTGAGAGGTGGACATCAACTCCCAGAATTCCCTGGCCAACATGGCTGGCCGGGGAATTCTGGGAGTTGTGTCCACCCCTCTTCAAGCACCCAAGGTTGAGAAACACTGCAAGGGATGGGCATTGTTACGCATTTATATTTTAATGCTTCTCTTCTTATCCCTTTCTCTGCAACCCCAGAATTAAGGACGGTCCAAAAGAGATTACCTTGAGTCATAGCTAGAGGGGATTGTTGGGTTATTTGAACTGTGCAGCAGCTAAACCTTTGGCCTATCTCGACTGTCCACAGCCGGGGAGTTGCTGACAGTGTCATCGTTGCCAGAGTGAACGGGGAATTATGGGACCTTGACCGGCCGATGGAAGGAGATTCCACCTTGGAGCTGCTGACTTTTGAGGACGACGATGCTCAGGCAGTAAGTCGACATTTCTCCTTTTTCCCCGCAAAACATTTGAAGGCAGAAGCGCTGATGACAGAGGACAAACCACGTTAAAAAGGCTGCTCCATCTTGGTTGTGCGAAACAAGGCTAGCTTTCCCGATGGATGTAAGGAACTCCCTTATCTGGGATAGATGCGGGTGCTGCAGGATTTGTGCTTATGGGTCTGCTTAATTTGAGCAGCCCAAATAACAACTGGAAAACTTTAGATAACGTAATATGTAAATTAACAAGGCCTCTTCAGTTGCCCCAGTAGGAAAAGAATCACAAAATTAAAATTATTTGACATCAGGGGCAGGAACCACAGTTTTATGTACTTTGGGGTGGGTTTTATGGTTTATCTAAACTAAATAGTAATAAACTATAATATGGTATACGTTGGATAAATGGAAAATTTGTATATGTTTATGAAGTGTAAAATTGGAGGTGATGACCCTTGAAGAGCTGTATACAACGAAATTTCATTTTTAATATATGCCAAAGTATACATTCAAAGTGACAAAGTTATTCTGTCCTATTCTCTATTCTAATTCTATTCTTCTATATTATTCTTCTAAATTCTATTCTATTCCTATTCCATTCTAAATTCTGTTCTGTTCTAATTCTATTCTTTATTCTATTCTAAATTCTATTCTCTATTCTAATTCTATTCTATATTCTTATTCTATATTCTATTCCAAATATATTCTATTCTATTCTATTCTATTCTATTCTATTCTATTCTATTCTA